CTTTAAACTTTGACATGGGCAGACCATGGACCAGGTCCTTATGAATTAGTTTGTTCAGAAGAGAGAAGCTTGCATGCCCCAATCTTCTGTGTCAGAGTTCAGCATCATCATCAACAACTTTCAGACAACTCAGATCACCACTTTGTATGGACTCGAAATCAGCAACATAGATGTTATTGTATCTCTTGGCCACAAGTACCACTTCACCAGTTACCAGATTAGTAACTGTACATATCTTGGACAAGAACTCCACCTTGTTTCCTTTATCACAGATCTGAGAGACACTCAAGAGACTGTACTTAAGGCCATTGACATAGTACACATTCTCAATAGAGTGAGTGAGTGATTTCCCGACTTTTCCAACTCCAAGAATGTACCCCTTTTTCCCATTGCCAAAGGATACACTCCCTCCTTGCAGGGCTTTTAGTGAAAGAAAGTCCATGGTGATCCCAGACATGTGCTTTGAACATCCACTATCCATGAACCATTGTTGACTGCTTCCTTTCACTGTTCCCTGCACAAGGAGATCAAGAGTTAACTTTAGAAACCCAAGAAAGTTTGGGTCCCTTGTAGTAGGCAAGAGGATGAATAAGAGCTCTCTTAGTCCATGCAGGTAATATGCGTTTTTTGTGGGTGGAAGCTGGTCCCCTTTTAGTAGTTACATTTTCAGCAAGCACTTTGTTTTTCTGAAAGGACTGGACCCTGGCTTGGCAATTTTCCTTGAAATGCCCGTTGTTGTACATAACCAGTTATCTGGTACAGTAACGTACTTGCTATGGGGGTTGTAAGGAGTTTTCTCCCTTTGGAACCCTATTCCTTGCCTGTGTTCCACTATTATTAACGTACATGGCAATGATAGCTTCTGAGGACCAGGTCCACTTTAGGGACTTTTCAAGATCAATTTTTATTCTTTTCGGTTCAGTCTGGAGATGCTTGTTTTTCTCATATTCAACACACAGACTAGTTCTCACGGCCTTCAACTCATTTTCAAGCCTAATGTGTTCCTCACTTGCTACCTCTTTTCCTTTTCCAGAATTTCCAGGTTTTGACTCAGTCCCTAGTCCCTTTACTGTTTCCCTTAGGTCTGCAATCACTACCAAGAGATCATCTCTTTCTTCCTCAATCTCAGCCACTCTTTTCATCAAGGCTTCTCTTTCTTTTCTGAAGTTTTCAATAGCTTCCTTATGGTCAACAACTACAACCACTAAGTCATCTCTTTCGGTTTCTATGTCAGCAATTATTTTGGTTAAAACAATTTTTTCTTTCTCCAGCCCACAAATAGTTTCCTTCAGATCAACAACACACACTACCAGATCATCTCTGGTTCGTTCAGCTTCTCCTAGCTCTAAGGTCAAAGCATCCTTATCCTCCACAAGACTATGATAGGAATCAATCAATACACTAGCTAAAGACATGAGTTTCTTAGGAGAGTAGGACTTCAGATTTCTCTGAACATCCCTGAAATTTACCTCACTGTTGTCATCGTCTTCATCATCATCTGATTGGGCCATCAAAGCAAATATTGAATCATATTCATTTTCCTTACTTTCAACTGCCATCATGGAGCTGTCACCTGTATCAATTTCATCTTCAGACTCACTAGAGAAGTCTTCCCATGCTGCAAGAGCCTGTTTCACCATATTGTCAGCAGATCTCTTCCTCTTGAAGTCCTTGTCAGGCACCGGGTTCCTCTTAGCTACTTTCTCTGGGTTGTACTTGGAGTACTCTTGCTTCAGGAGAGGGCAGTCTTTGATGAAGTGCCCAGGCTTTCCACATTTATGGCAGAGATCATAGTTCTTTGGTTTGCTAGAGCTTCCCCTTTTCAGTATTCCTCCATTTCTTCTGACCATCTTCTGAAATCTTTTGGTTAAGTAATCCATGTCACTGTCCTCCTCACTCGAGTCATTGCTATCAGCTTTGAGTACCGGGTTTTTTTCTTTCTTGGTTCTCTTCTTTCACTGTCTATCTTCCTCTTCATCTCATAGGTCTTCAGATTTCCAACCAGCTCGTCTATAGTCAGCTCCTACAGGTCCTTTGCTTCAGTAATAGCATTCACCTTTCTTTCCCAAGAACTGGGCAGGATACTGAGAATTTTCCTCACTAGCTTGTTCCTAGGAATGGTTTCACCAAGTGAGTGTAACTCATTTATGATGGAGGTGAATCTTGCATGCATATCTTGAATAGATTCATCATCCTTCATCCTAAAGAGTTCATACTCGGTAGTGAGCATATCAATCTTAGATTGTTTTACTTGAGTAGTTCCCTGATGTGCTGTTTGTAGAGTTTCCCATATCTCCTTTGCAGTTTCACAAGCATAAATTCTGTTGTATTCATCAGGTCCTATTCCATATACCAAAATCTTTTTGGCACGAAAATTCTTCTCCACAGCTTTCCTGTCTGCGTCAGTGTATTCTTTTCTGGTTTTTGGCATTGAGGATGGAAGTTCTGCAAGTGCCTTTGTTGGGATTTAAGGACCATTACATATGAAATCCCACAACTCAGAATTCTCGGCCATGATAAAATCATGCATTCTTGTCTTCCACCTCCCATAGTATTTCCCATTGAACCTGGGTGGTCTGTATGTAGATTGACCTTCTTCAAAATTTGGTGGAGCAGCCATACGGATCCTTCCTAGGTGTTAGCTTGATAGGAGAAACCTGCTCTGATACCAATTGCTAGTTTATATGGATCCACCAAACTATAGAGTACCTGGTCCTCTATGAGTTTCCGCTGAGAATACTAATGAAGCAGTAAGTAAATGAGACACGGGATTTTTACGTGGAAAAATCCCACTCAAGGGGACAAAACCCACGACCTACACTTGTAGGCTTTCAACTTCACTAACTTGCAATCACCCTATTACAAGCCACTTTGTAATGACTCTATTACAAAGACTTCAACTCAACTAACTTGTGATACACTTACCACAAGCCACTTTTGTTACTCACTAGTTACAAAGACTTCAACTCAACTAACTTGTGATACATTTACCACAAGCCACTTTGTCACTCACTAGTTACAAAGACTTTAACTTATGACTAACTCTAGTCACAACACAAACTCAGAAAGTTTATGGTTTTACAAAGGGGTTCCTAAGCAACGCTTCTAGCTAAGCAATTTAGGAATTACAATAACAACAATCACAAAGTTACAACTCAACTAAGGACAACAAAATACTCGATTTAGGAACTGGTCCGTAGTAGTGTTTAACTTTGTTCTTCAAGCTCTTGAGAGATAAGTTCACTGTTTGCAGAAAACTTGAATGCTTGAAGTGAATACCCAAGTGTTCAAGTGATGTTTTTGTTATAATGCTCTTGTTGATACACCCTTGATGACATCACTTGAATGATGTAAGCACTTGGTAGGTCAAAGGCAAGTGACTGCAGAACTACTGCACTATGTGCACACTTTCTGAGGCAGTCACTTTCCAGCCGTGCACAGTTGACTTTCATACTGCTATCAGGGACACACAAGGAATCAGGTCCTTCACTTGTTTCTCTATTTTCTACACTTGCAGCAGTTCACATTAGCTCGAGTCCTAGCTGGAATTCGTTCATTTGTAATGTGTACCAAGTGTGTCAGGTTCCCTATCTGGTTCTTGACAGTAAGTTTGTTACATCATCAAAACATAAGGCAAAGACATTGAAAACCCATCACCATGACTTAACTTGCTACTTGTCATTTATTATTCTCTCATTATAAATGTTAATTCCTTCCATGCTTATATGCTTAATTGATATTTTCCTTATTTGTCTTACTTGTACCCTTTTAACTGTCATATATTTGACTTGACTTATTACTCAGTATTAATTATAGCTCTTCATGATTTGGTACGAGATTTCTTCTTGATTTGTACCTTTCATATCCGTTAATCGTAGAGATTCTTGTGATTCGAGTTGTTAAATTGATTGCACTTATTGACTTACTTATATTGATACAGTGAGATCGGGTTGTGCGCCACAACATGTGAAATAAGGATGGATTGATAAGGTGAAATAAGGGTGGATTATATTGATACGGTGGGATCTGGTTGCGCGCCGCAACAGGTGAAATAAGGGTGGATTGATATGCTGAAATAAGGGTGAATTATGATATTGACTCTGATTATATGGTGGGGTCGGGTTGTGCGCTATTATTATTGATATTTACATGGTGGAATAAGAGAGGATAGTGTTGTACAATGAGATCGGGTTGCACGCCACAACAGTTTATGTCTTTCCTATTCCTTATTACATTGTGTTGTTTTCGGTACTTTCGTACGAGATTCCAAGGATTGGTAATTCTGGCATTTACTCGTTTTCTTTGAGGATTGAGTTGTTTCATGAGTTAACTGCCTTATTTCGCTTCCGCATTTTCCTTTCCTGTCATTATTTTATACAGCATACAGGTTATTGTAAGTGACCCGCGTTAGCCTCGTCACTACTTCATCGAGGTTAGGCTCGACACTTACAGAGTACATGTGATCGGTTGTACTCATACTACACTCTGCACTTCTTGTGCAGATTTTGGAGCCGGTTCCAGCGGCATTCGGTAGATTGCTCGGGTTGACTATGAGTACGGAGACTTGAGGTACAATTGCTCGTCGTTCGCAGCCCTGAAATCCCCTTCTACTTTACTCCAGATTTATTTCAGTTTATTTTGGCTTCTTCATTATTACTTAATCTGAACTGTTAAAAACGGATAAACTATTCTAAGGTTGGTTTGCCTAGCAAGTGAAATGGTTTTCCGCACTTTACTACAGATTTATTTAAGTTATTTTGGCTTCTTCATTATTACTCTGAATTGTTTAAAATGGATAAACTATTCTAACGTTGGCTTGCCTAGCAAGTGAAATGTTAGGCGCCATCATGGTCTCGAGGGTGGGATTTTCGGGTCATGATATAAACTCCATAAATATTATAAAATGTTTAATACTACAAATTTAAAAAAAATTATAGTCGCACACCACAAATTATAAAATTCTTTATATTTTATTGAACTATACTTTTTACCCAATTTCTTGTTTCCAAACTTGTGAAAAAAAAAAGGAAGAAAAAACATCCCTTATCAGCGCATCGAAATAGCACGGGCCTTAAGGCTACACAGTTCTGTCAATCGAGTTGGGAATTTTCCTATTCATCAACTTCTGTAACTTCCATTACTTTCTGCATCTCATCAGCGGTAGAAAAAAATGGCCGGCGGAGGAGATCACGCCCATGGACATGGTGGGGACTTCAGGACTAAGGTCTGGAGCATGAGTGGTGGGCCCTACTGTAGGCCCAAGCATTGGCAGCGCAACACTGCCATTGCTCTCGCTGGAATCGTCCTCATATGTATCCCTGTCGCCTTGAAATCCGCCGAACTCGAGGTCAGTATCCTCAAATTTTACTTAATTTTTATGTGAAATATATTCGTAACAATTTGAGATTCAAGATTGAAATCACATATTGTGCTTTAATTTTGGTTAGAGATTTATTTTGGTGAAATTGGGTAAAGGCGTTAGCTTTAGGGTGAAAATTGATTTTTGTACTTTGTATTTGTTTGATGCAATGAGTTTAGGATCTTCAGGTTCAGAATGTGTGGTGATGTGAAGTTAAAACAATCTCATCATGAGGTGAATAATATTTATATTCCTTTTGGCACGAAGCAGGATTTCTTATTCTTGATGCAACTGGCTGATATTGATTGTTGAAGTTGGTTAATGTAATCAATATGAGTTCTTTTGATCCTGGGAAATTAATTCTCTGAGAACATACCATGCTTTGAGGTAAATATATTGGCTAGAGGTGTAGTGGTAGGAATTAGGAGTATAAATGTATCTGCAGCTTTAGCTTCAGTGATGAATGTAAGAAATAGGAAATGAAAATGTGAAGCAAGGGATTATTACTTATTATGGGTGAACTGATGCGACTTCAGACAGTGAGGCACAAGTGGTGGTTCTTTGAATTTAACATTAGAGTTTACAAAAGAGAAGGAGTTGGAAAAATAAGACCTTTTGGTATCCGAGTACTAGGACTCTTCTACAGTATGCTTCAATATTTTCTTCGTTGTCATCTTCTTCTTACTTTGGGTTTTAGTGACTCTTTTTCAATCATTTATGTTTATCTGTTTGCTTCTTGTTCTTCATTTTGTTGTTCACCATGACAGTTTTTTTGGCATGTGAATCCTCTTCTTCTGCTATTCTGTTCTAGGCTTATCTTCTTTATCCTTTTTTTTGGTCTCCTTCTTGGTAGCAACACTTCTTTTCTCCTTTTCTTGCTTGTTTTATGTTTTGTTTACTATCCTCAAGTCATGATAGTAATTTATCTAAAGCATTTAACATGTAGTTGAATTGTGTGAACTAATTGTTTTTTATGGCTGATTAATTGAAACTATAACTCAACTTTGTAATTAAGGTATTATTTCTCAAAAGCTCGTTATGATAGCATTTTGATTATGCTTGATTTGTGTTGTAGATTAGTATAGTCGATATTCTACATTTGATGTTGAAATGTTAATGCTAGTTGCAGCCCCCAGGGTTTTGGTCTAGTGGTAAGAGCGCAATGCGTGATGTGTTGGTTAGGCGCATATCACGGGTTTGAACCCTGCCATAGACAAAAGCTTGATATGTAAGTGGAGAAGGAGTAGAGGGGTTGTGCGCCACTGGCCGTTGGAGATTTCTCCGTTGTAAAAAATTAGTAATGTTAGTTGCAGTTATGTTGTTATTTGCACATATATATTGAGTAATTTTTATTTGTTTTTTATAGATTGTATTTCGGGAAATTGTGAAATTCGCTTAGCACCCAAGGGTGTGGTCTAATGGTCAATGAAGTTAAACTATGAGAGACTAGGGTTCAACTGGAGATAAAACACACCAAGTGATTTACTTCCACCTGCCTTTGTCTTGGGGGCATTAGGAAGAGTTACTCTGTTGCAGTGTTGGTAGTAGATAGTAGGTACCAAGTGGAATAATCGAGCGCGCGCAAGTTGGCCCGTAAACCGTTATGTAAAAACGAAGTGCAGTTCACTTCTTACTTAAAGTCCCAGTACCTTTTCGCTGTAAAAAACACTGAATCTAGGCCCTATTTTGACTTTTAAACCCCACGACCAGCCAAAAAGGAACGAAGGAAGAAAGAAAGAAAGAAAGAAAGAAAGAAAAAGAAACCCTAGCCTAATCTCCAAGAAAGAAATTGCTTTCAGAAGCCTATGAGCTATGTGTGACGTTATTTAGTTTCGTAAATGTGTATAGCATGCAATTGTTATTGCTGATGGACTGATGATTCCCAATCATAGTAGGCTTAATATGGCATGTGAAAGTCTGTTCTAGATGCTGCCTACTATGATTTTTCAGAAATAATTGGAGCTAACAAAATTTGGCATCAAAAAGAATTGATTATGCTACAGTGACATCCAATTGCTTTGATTGAGATCACTTGCCTGGGAACCTAATCGAGACGAAAACTTATGAAGGGTAAGATTACAAACATCTCACTTATAAAAAGAAAATATCATACCCATCTTTTACTTGAGGCTCTGAGTGGCTTTTGGACATTCCCAGTAATCTTACTTATAGACATTGGTAAACATCTCATCTATCCATGAGATGTTTATTGTAAGACCTTGATGTAAGTCTTAATATCACGTCGGGGAACTCTCCCCCCTTGTTTGATCCTTGACTGGCCGACTTGAGAGGGAAATATGCATGCTTCTATCGAGTCCCCTAGGGGATGGCCTAGTGGTTGAGACATGAGAGTAGTAATGTGATGATCCCTAGTTTGGATTGCAGTTATAGCACTTAGTGTGAGTCATTTGCTCCAACCTTGGTGAGTAAGATTACCTTGGTAACTTGTGCTTGGCTGCTTGCATGCTGGATAGGCTACCCGATGGATTAGTCGAGGTGTAGCAAGACAGAGGAAAGAATGATTACGCTGTAGAGATTTGTTATTCATATTTTTTGCAAGAAACTCCTGGCAGAGTTTCTTGCAAAAAGGTTCAGCCTAGATGATTTGTCATTCGCATTTTTAGAAGTATTGGATTGAATCAATTAGTAATTGCTGTAAAATGATCAATTTTTAAACAAATTTTTTATTAAGTGTACATGTAAGTAGATTGAAAATTTTAAAAGTATATGACTTCTGGCTGGAGCAAAAACAAGCTCGGTCAACCTGAAAAAAATGGTATTTTATGTTTGTTTGTTCAATTTGAAGGTTCAGTTCAAAGATGATGTCTTGTTGAGTCTTTTTATTTCTTTAGGTAAATGGTTGTTCTAGCCTTTGATCAACTTAATATAATTCTTTTAGAATGATCAGTGTTCTTCTTTGTTGCTCTATTGCTCCTTTTTTTCATATTGATTTGATACTGTTAAGGCCGTTTGATTCATGTACTTGTTATGCAGGGATTATAACAGAAGATTGTTATGCGATAACAAATTATTTTGGGATTTTTGTGCAGTAAATAATGTAGGGGTTGTTATACTATGAATCTTAATATAGAGATTATTATACGACAAATGATAACACGAGATTATTATGTAGTGATTGCCTGCATTAAAAAAATATTTGTCTTTGGATACTCTTATTCTAGCACATATTCTTACTGTACGTTTTTCTCCTTATAAAATAATATATAGATTTACATGAGTTATGTTGGTACCTTCTTTTTTTTTCCGAAAAGGAATGAGTTATGTCGGTGTTTGTAACCAAATGCTGCATTAGTTATGCAGATAACATTTTTCTTTATCGGAGACTAAACTTTGTAGTATTAGTTATGTAGAGACTAGATTAGTAATGCAGAGTATTATATTGCAATGAAAAGTTGTATTAGTTGCGCAGAATTTTATGTTAGGATTATTTTTTCCTATGCAACCAACCATACCACCTATTAAAGTATGAGTTCGTGTGTGCACTTTGCAAAATATTTGATCTGCATTCATCTGATAACAAGGTTTCTATTTTGCAGCAACGGCCACATCATCCAGTCCGGCCCATTCCTTCTCAACTCTGGTGCAAGAATTTTGGAACAAAAGATTACTGAAGCAACAATTGTGGTTAGCTGTGGTTGGTCCTATATTTGGATGCTAAAATTTTGTGCTTCATGATACTTTTCATTTGCACAAGTGTGACAACATGATAAAGATATTCCATTGAATAAGAAACACTTATACTTGCTCTGTTATAATGTCTAAATCAGGTTATTTTAGCAACGGTTTCCGTTTCTAATTTCATTATCTTTAAATCAAGAGAACTTTTCTCATTATCAGCACGAAAAGGAGGTGTAGGGGTTGTGCAAGAGTATATTCCTCTTTGTAAAGGAAGGATTTTTCTAACTAAGAGCAGGCTTTCTGAAAGACTGTTCATGCCTATCTGTTAAATACTTAACTATGAACCATCCCCACCCACTTGTATCATTTTGGTAGCAGTAAGAATCTCACAAAGGGTTGGAGTATAAGTATGCGTAGAGGGTTTTCTACCTATATGTAGCCTGGAAATGGGTTTATGTTCTTCAATAAGGTATTCGTCAATGTTCGTGTGCTAACGAGGTGTCTGTCTATAAATCAGATTTGCTGGTTCATACAGTGTCGTTTATGTCATCTGAGCATTTTTGCTGCCATAGGTGATACAACTAAGCTTCCATAACTCTCTCCAGAAGTTGGAGATGAAGTTTTCTTGTTGCTTTTAACATGTGCTGATAGCTACGTCGCATAAATTGCAGAAGTGCTAGGATGCAGGCCAATTCTTTGGTTCAAGTAACTTGACGAGCCATCTAGAATTATGTCATCCACAATACCTGACATGATATCTGGAGCTATTTTGCTCTAATCACATAGTAATGATGTGTTACTCTGATTTGCTGAACGCAGAAGAGCTAACGAAATACTTATAACACCACCATTTTAACGCGCACAGTCCATGTTTGGAAAAGCTTCCCTTCACAACATGCCTTTCTTCTCATTAGTTGCACAACTTTTTAGCATCCTTGTATAACCAAGTGAATCTATGATCAGAACTCAGGACACAATTTCTTCTTCAATTAAATCTACTTGAAATCTATTTCGATCTGTTCTAGAAAAAGAACAACTTCAAACAAGTGCCTAAAAGCATTCTCTTTTAATTGGTCTCAACTAAATCATTCTAGCCAACACCTTGTTAAAAAGAATTAATGTCTAAACGAAGCGCGGATACTGAACTTTTGGAGTTTCTAATTACATAAGCGGCAAATACTTATTCGTACTCAATGCTTACACTAATGTTTAAGCTTTGAAGTTCCACCGCTTCTTTCGAAAAAATAAATTCTCTCTTCATATTTGGGAAACTTTAATTTCCATTATTCATGAAGAAAAAAAAACTGAAAATGGTTTTCCTTTTATTCAGAAAGTTTTTCAACTGTTGTAAAACTGATTTCTCTGTCTTTTGGAAAGCTCGATTGAGGCTTGAGGTTGTTACAGTTTGCCATATTTTCCATTCCTATTGTCGTCTATATCCTTTTTTTCTCAAACATTGATGTTTAAAGAAAGCAAGTTGTATATTTGCCGTGCGTAAGCACATCTAACGCTCTGAAATTTCATGCATGATTTTTTTATTTTATTTTATTAATCCAATACAAAATATTAACAGAAATTGATTGAAAACAGAATATTATCACACAGTAGCAATGACTTGATAAATGATGGTAGTTTTTGATGCAGTCAATTACAATATATGCTTGATTATCTTTTCAATTATTTATTATGTCCAACCACCTTAAAATCGACAGTTTCAATATTTTAACAAATCAAATGTAAGCAACCCAAATTATTAGACAGCATGAGAATTTAGTTCACATGGAAGTGGGAAAAATAATATTTCATGAAGATGATGGGGTTATTAAACGTCGAGTTAATAAAACTTTGAGAGTTTCTTAATTTGGTGGGGCATTTGCTAAAAGATGGATATTTTATGGGCAATTCAACCATGCGTACATCTTCAACTTTTCGTCTTCGTATCCATGCACAAAATATTGAGTGCTTAGGGTGTGTTTGGTACGAAGGTCTCGGAAACATATTCCAATTTTTTCATGTTTTCTATCAAAAAGAGGAAAAATATTTCTCAAAACTCTTTTTCAACCTTCCCCACCCCACCCCAACCCACCACTCCCTCCCTCCCCCTCCACCCCACCTATAGTATTTGCCTAAATTATATATTTTCTAAAAAAATAGTTTTTACTCACTAAATATTAAAAAACATTGTTTGGAAAATATTTTCCACTCGTTAAACAAGCATGAGAAAATAAGTGATAAAACTACTTGTTTTCCAGAAAATATTTTTAAGAAAAACTGTATAGGGTAAAATGTGTTTATATTAAATGATCGCATGAGAAAGTGACACGTGGAGTCGAAGACAGAAGACAGTCGGACTCGAAGGCAATGATCTCGCTTGTCATCAGAGAGAATGATATTCATAAAGGCAAAATAAATGCCTGCCATCTGGTAGTATTCAAATGAAGAATGTTCTATAGCATTAAGTGCATGATCCGTTACAGAGAATATGTCATTCACTGCCCACCGTTACACAGTCTTCAATGTCCCACATAACTATCATTAAAGAAGGGCTTGATCCTAGGACCTTGTTCCCTAGGTGCAACTATAAATATTGAGATATATTATCATTATAGGACATGAATTTTCTGACAAGCATACGCTATATTCTATAAAAGCTCAATAACATTTTGCCTTCTTGCTTATTTATATTGCTCTTACTGCCTCCGGTAGCTCTGCGCCCCGGATCTGCCGTTTATTTCAATTTCAAGGCTAAGTCTTACATTTTTATCTAATCCATCTGTTGTTTTTGGATCAAATCGATTCATTTGTCTATAAATCACGTATAAAATTAACTGTACAGTTTTATGGGTAAACAGTTTGGCGCCCACCGTGGGGCTTAGCCAGTTGTGTAACTGAGTTGATCCTTGTATCTATTACTAACTTGTTTGATTCTTTGTTCATAGCAAAAAATCATTAAAAATGATAGATAATGGTGTCAACAACACACACAACGTTGAGGCCCAAGGAAATCAGCCTCAGCACGAAGATTCCATCAGTGATACTGGAAACGAGGGGATGAGGCCATGCCGGTTCACAGCGGGTAATATCAATGACATGTTCAAGAGGCAAAACCTGATGATGCTGAAGACGAGCACGTTATCGAAATAGTAAGGATCTTGAAGGAGCAACAAGAGGCCATCATAGGCCATCTCACACGGCAGGATAAGGTCATAGCAGAACTGAAGCAGGCGTTGTCGGGTGCTTCCAACAACGCGAATAGATGAGGTTCAGTTCCTCCCGGTGCTCCTGTAAATCAAACAACGCAGAGGGTCGACAACAACACCCCGAAGGGCGAGGTCGGTTTCGATGGGACCGGGGGGGGAGGGGGGATGGCAGCGGTTCCGGCAGCCACAATGAAACGATCCCTTTATAACCAAACTCATGCGGTTTATGAGGGAAATAAATGCTTGAATGGATCAAATTCCGGGCGCACCATCAGTGCTGAAAGGACCGGATTCAAAGAAGTATACCCCACTGCCGTTCCGATCGAGCTCGACACTAGAATTGATCCCGAAGCGGTTCAAAATGCCAGATGTGCCAAAGTATGATGGGACTTCAGATCCCCATAAGCATATCACCACCTATACAACGGCGGTGAATGGGAATGATTTAGCACCCCACGAGATTGAGTCAATCTTATTGAAGAAATTCGGGGAGACCATTACGAAGGGAGCCCTGACATAGTATTCGCTTTTCCCGAGCACTCCAATACTCATTCGAGATGCTCGCGGACTCTTTCATCAAGGCCTATGCCGGGGCCCGAAAGGTAGATTCCCAAAAGGCCGACATATTCAGGATTGCACAAGGAGAATTCAAGTTGCTGCAAGTTTGTGACCAGATTCCAGAAGGAAAAGATGTTGCTACTGATCATGTCCAAATGCACGCCTCAAAAGAGGTATGACACGATCATTTGCAATAATAAAACCTAACAAAGAGTCGGGATCGAATCCTCAGGGAGCTAAGATGGGAGTTAGGGGTATATATTCGGAATGAGCAAGTAAAGTATTTAGATTGCACTTCCACAATGAGGTTTTTGTTTCTATATCTAGTATTACTCTAAGGAATGCAAATTAGAGAGATAAGACTAGAGGTATTTATTTTTGAGGGTTTTCCAAATATATAAAAAACCTAGGGCTGTGACCATGACCTATGTGTTTGCCTAATGGGATAAAGACTTTTATGCTCGTTTTATTGATTGGGGTGTATTATAGCTCAGAACTCTATGTTACCCACTCAATACCTCATGTTCAGAGAGTGGTTTTGCCCAATTTGGCTTTCTCAAGAACAAATGGGTATCAACCAAAATAGTTGATAAGAGCTCAAGTCGGGTTGTTACTATCTCTAGGTTGAACCCTTTAACTGGGTTAATCAATCTCTCAATTGACCCAATTCCTTGTTAGCTAAGTTAACCTGGACTAGGTCCCTATTTCTCAAGAAGAGACTAAGTCAAATAGGTATGAATCAATGTTTGCAACCATCAGTTCTACAATTGAAGCATGAACTCAGCTAAATAATAAACACCCAATCATAACAAGCATAAAATTAATTACCCATAAGGTTTACACACTAGGGTTGGGTCACAACCCTAGTAAAAATCTAGCTACTCATAGTGGGTGTTGAAGAAAACAAAGAAGAAAAGATAATAAAACTCATATTGTAAGATTAAAATAGAGAAATCTAATGTTAAATCATCAAAATAAGCTAAATTTTCCTAAAACAGCAAAGAGAAACGGCTACAGTACTTCAGAGATTCAGAACTTGACATAATTTTGTGAAACACGTCTATTTATACAAAGCTGAAAATCTCGAACAAAAATGCCCCTCGGGAGGTTCTGCGACCGCACAATTCCATGTGCGGGCTGTAGATTTCTTCATCTCAAAGGAACTAGAGCTCTGCGACCGCACAATTCTGAATTGCGGCTGCGAGGCAACTCTTCTATAGTCCGCAGATTTAGGACTGCGGCCGCACAATTCTTGTGCGGTCCGCAATTCACAGAGGCTCTAGACCTGGTATTTTTGCACACTCTCTGATCTTCAACTCATAGCTCATCTTTGCGGCCTCACAATTCATGTGCGGTCAACAATTTGCGCAAATGTCTGCTAGATTTTCCTCCTTTGTTTGCGGCCGCAGAATTCCTTTTGTGGACCGCACAGTTGTGCTCCTACGCCTTTCATTGCCTTATGCCTCGGACTATACCTTTTTGAGTCGGATTTCATCTCGGGAGATCAGTTTCTATCATTCCTGCAATTTTGCACAATTCCATTAGTTTTGGGAACACAATTCAATGCTTTTAGACTAAAACAAAAGCTAAAGGACGCTAATAAGCGGTCAAAATCTCCACTTATAAGCTACCAGCCGTACCAGACGAATGGGCAGCTGAAGCATTCACTAAAGGTCTGAATCCGAGGAGTTCCAATGATCACAAAAATTGAAGGAAAGTCTGCTCGAGTTCCATGCGACAATATGGGCAGATGTTCACAACCGGTATAAATCAAAGATAATAATCAACGATGATCAACTCGGTTTCCCGATATCAACCAAGGGTCGAGACAGGGAGAAGAGTAAAGAGAAATTGAAAGATGATTTCGACATAGATCGACGATCTTCGAGGGGTCGATTGTTGCCCTATGAACGGGCCGAAGGACGCGATAGAGGTTTTCGGTCGGCGAATAGATTCGCCACCATAGGAGAACTGATCATTGCTAGAATAATAGGTAATTGCAGGACAAGGAGAGATTGGTTCTCGAGATTCCTCCTATCCCAGGCTTTCCGACTACAACTTTAACGTCAGCATAGTGGAGTTGGTGTTGGCTATGAGGAATATCAAAGAAGCACGGTTCCCGAGGCCAATAAGATCCAATCCTATCCAAAGGGATCCTAATTTATGGTGAGAATACCACGGGACAAACGGTCACCGGACTAGGGACTGTCGGCATATGTGCGAAGAGGTGGCGATATTGCTGAAAAACGTCCATCTCGGGGAATTTTTAAGTGACCGGGCTAAAAATAACTACGATCGCAATCGTGATAATGCAGAACCTTCAAAAGAAGGAGAAGATCCCCCGCGTCTGACTATCAACATGATTTTCCTGGGGAAATGAGATTAACGGGGTTACATTCTCGGCAACAATCTAGAACGAAGGTGTCAGTGACCCACAACAAGAGACTCCGGGAAGTCGCTGAAGATGACATTACTTTCATGGAGGAAGACGCATATGGATTGCTCTACCGCACAACGATGCGTTTGTAATTTCTTTAAATGTCTTAAATTTTAAAATTAAATGTGTTCTGGTGGACCGACGAAGTTTGGCCAACATCATACAATTGAGGTTGTTGGAGCAAGCTAAGCTCACTGGAAGCATCATTCCGGCCATAAAACTTCTCGCCGGGTTCAATCTATCAAGCGTGACAACCCGGGGAGAGATCCTGCTGCCCACGAATACCGAGGGGGTGATGAAGATAACCCTTTTCGAGGTAGTGGACATCGATTTTGTTTACAATATTATCTTGGGGAGACGATGGATGCACGAGATGAAGGTTGTGCCATCAACATATCATCAGTTGCTGAAATTCCCGACTCTCGAGGGAATTAGACAAATAAGAGGTGACCAACCGACAACAAGGGAGATGAATGTAATCTCAGTCTCCAGTAGCAAAGGGAAGGAGCATGCGGCAGAGCAATTATAGGAACTGACACCTGCTCCCGAGCCGAGCGAAGTCAACCAGGGAAAGAGTCGTCAGAATCCAATCAGGTGCCAAGGTATTTCCAGGTACTAGAAGAGACGGACGCAATAAAGTCCGCAGCAAAAGAACTTGAACAAGTTGCATTGTTCGAAAAATTCTTGGAAAAGAAGTTCCAGTTGGGGGGTAGGACTGCACCCCTAGCTCAAGTCGGGATTTATTAAACTTATTAAATTTAATGTCGATTGTTTTGCATGGTTGCATGTGGATATGACAGGTATCCCGCCGGAAGTGGTTGTGCAAAAGCTAAGCCTAGATCCCAACATCCCTCAGGTAAGATAGAAAAAACGTCATATTACCGAGGTCAGGAATAAATTCGTCAAGGAAGAGGTAACTCACTTGCTTGATATTGGTTCAATCAGAGAGGTAAAGTATCCTGGCTGGCTAGCTAACGTAGTAGTAGTAGTTCCGAAGAAGAATAATAAATTTCGCATGTGCATAGACTATAAGGACTTAAATAAGGCGTGGCCAAATGACTCGTTCTCATTACCAAATATTGATCAAATGATTGATGCAATGGCCGGGCATGAGTTAATGAGTTTCCTTGATGCTTACTCCGGTACAACCAAATCAAGATGAACCTGGAGGATCAGGAAAAAACTTTGTTTATAACGAACTTTCGCACGTATCGTTACAATGTGATGCATTTCGGGCTAAAGAACAATAGAGCCACTTATCAACGGCTCGTAAAAAAAATGTTTGAGAAGCAAATAGGGAAAATCATGGAAGTTTACATAGATGATATTCTTGTTAAGTCTTTGAACGCAGGTGACCATCTTAAACACTTGCAAGAAATTTTGGACATCTTAAGGAAGCATAAAATGAAGCTTAACCCCGAGAAGTGTGCATTCGGGGTCAGCTCTGGTAAGTTCCTGGGATTCCTGGTGTCGAAAAGGGGGGTCGAGGTTAACCCCGATAAAATCAAAGCCATCGAAGATATCCCGGACCAGTTATCAAGCGTAAAGAGGTTCAAAGGCTAACAGGGAAATTGACCACTTTGAGCAGATTCATTTCCTGATCTTCAGAAAAGTGCCATCATTTTTTCCCACTTCTCAAAAAGAAGAATAACTTTGAGTGGACATTGGAATGCTAACAGGCTTTGAAGGATCTACAAAGGTATTTGTCAAGTACTTTGTTACTGTCAAAATCGGAGGAAGGCAAACAACTACTGATCTACTTAGCGGTCTTGCGGTATGTGTTCTTTTAGTCCACGAGGATGAAGGTACACAATCTCCTATTTATTACGTTAGTAAAATTTTAACTGGAGTAGAAACTCGCAACCCACATTTGAAAAAATTGGCCTTAGCCCTCATAGTCGTAGCTCGAAAGCTAAGGCGTTATTTCCAATGTCACCCGATAGATGTGCTGACCACTTTTCTGCTGCGGAGTATTCTTCATAAACCTGAACTCAAGTAGGCTGGCCAAATGGGCCGTCGAAATGAGAAAATTTGACATAGAATATAAACTTAGGACTACAATTAAGTCACAGGTTTTGGCTGACTTTGTGGCCGATTTCAGTCCGGGACTTTTACCTCTGGCTACCAAAGAAGCAGTAATGGCGTCGAAATCGACATATGGAGTTTGGACCTTGTTCATGGACGGAGCTTCCAATGTGACAGGGTCTGAGCTCGGCATAGTGTTAACCACGCCCTCGGGAAAAACTCTAAGGCAGGTCATAAGAATGTTGGGGGCTGGGGGATGTGCAGGTGCAAAGGTTTGTCTGCATCTGCGAGCTCGTAGATGCGGGAAGTGGAGCGTAGAAGCGAAGATTAGTTTGGACTTGGGTTTCCACAGTAGCGGGAGTTGTTGCACAGGTGCGCATGCACAAAAGCGCATGTTTGACCGTAGAAGCAGAAGTGGACTAGGAGGTCTGGGGCCACAGATGCAGCCATCTCTCCGCAGAAGCAGGATAGTAGATGCGGTTAAGTGATCATATGTGAGGAATCACCGGCAGAAGGTTTAAATAGAAGGGTTTCGTGATTTCTCTCATTTTGGACTTTGCAAGCTCGGCTAGTGGTGATTTTTGAGAGGGGTTTCACTAGATTTCAAAAGGTAAGCAACTTTTGATCGTTTCTATTCATTAATGTTGAATACCCATTGATTTTCCCACCTAGATTATGTGTTTTTGAAGTGAAATTTGGGGGATTTTGGACTAGGGATTGGAGAGTAAGATTTGGTAATTTGAGGGTCGATTTGTGGTCGGAATTGGATAATTTTAGTATGATCAGACTCGTTATAGAATAGATGTTCGGATTTTTGTGAATTTTGTTGGGTTCCGAAGCGTGGGCTCGGGGTTGACTTTTTGAATTTGGTTAAAGAACTTATCTTTATCGTAGGGGATCAATTCCTATAGATTATATTGATTATATTAAGTTGTTTGTGACCATATTTGAGTCATTCGGAGGCCGATTCGCGAGGCAAGGGTTTGTTGGAGCATCGAGTTGCGCACTTTGAGGTAAGTAATACCTCTAAACTTGATACAGAGGGTACGAATCCCTGAAATACGTGTTATGTGGTTGGTATTGAGGTGACGAACATGTTAGGTGACAGGCGTGTGGGCGTGCACCGTGGTAATTATGACTCTATTATTTCTATGGTGTTGTGCAATTATCTAATTTTGTAATTCCTACGTGTTACAATAATTGAGTTGTGATCCATGTTAGAAATCATGTTTATGCTATGTGCTCATTCTATTGGGACCCACTAAGGTCATTTCTGCTGTCGAGTTATTTTCTTAAGTTGCAATAATGTGCTCACTCATATTTATTCATTGCATATCATATCTTGATCTCTGTTATCATTTATTGTTACATCATGTTATTATTGCTTGGGCTGATTGGCATGAGATTTGTGAGCCCAAGAGACTGGAGATATTGATGACCGAGTTGGGACTTGAGAGCCAGATTGTGAGTGATATTTATGGGATAGGGCTGCACGACGCAACAGTTATTTGTAGGGTCGGGATGCACGTCGCAACAAGCTTTGTTGACTTATATTATGGGATTGGGCTGCACGCCGCAGCATTCCATGTTGGCTTATATTAGTGCCCGGGCAGGATCTGCCCTTCCGGAGTCTGACATACCAGCAGTGAGTGCAAGTACCGTACAGTCTGAGTGATTGAGTGTGATAAGCGAAAGTGTGAGATAGGCAGAGTGAGTACTCTGAGAGTGCGAGTTCCTGGGGATATTGCTGTGATGCATTACATTTGACATGCATATTTGACATGTATGCATAGAGATGTAACATTCCTCATGCTAGCTGTACTTGGAATATTTATCAGTGTTGAACTTAAATTGTTGAACTCGAAAGCACGTCTACATTTATGTATTATGTACGAACTGATTATGGAAATTTCTATGAATTATTGTTGTCATTATCTTGTTATACCTGTGTTGTCACTATTTGATTTGAATTGTATCTTTCTGAGCTCGTTACTGCTTTCGGCTCAAGGTTAGCCCTGTTACTTATTGAGTACATTGGGTCGGTTATACTCATACTACACTTTGCACCTCATGTGCAGATCCAGGTACATCTGGACACGACGGTTGCTAAATTTGGTGCAGTATCTACTCGGAGACTATTGAGGTAGCTGTTATGACACCCACAAACCTCGACTCTCCTTCTTTTCAGTTTATTCAATACTGTTCTATTTTTTCAAATAGTTGTATTAGGGATTTAGACTGTGTTGGTATTTAGTACCTCATGATCTCGGTGACACTAGAATTTTGGGTTTTGTTGTTGTTGAGTTGCAATTGTTTTATCAGTTATTTATGAGATTTTTCTGCTATTGAACTTGTTAAAAATCATATTTTTAATCCAAATGCGTAATTACTATATGATTGTCGGCTTGCCTAGTAATGTGATAGGCACCATCATGACAGGTTGGGATTTGGGTCGTGACAGGTGCGGATCACGCCCGATATTAACTGCGGATCGTGTTTGACTGGGAAAAAGGGAAGAAAAAGATTTTTACGTCATTTAGACTTGTACTAGGGTTAAAACTGCTCTACTATATAAAGGGGAGAACCTTTTCATTTTTTGGGTCATTATTGGTACGCATATCATAGCAATAATGATTACTTTTGTCTCTTAGCAATTGTTCAAGTGTTCTTCAGCTATTATCTCATTCAACTGAAACCGAGCGCCCTCCCGCGGGCTCGATTGGAACCAGTTTCTAGCATTCGAACCTAACGTCAGGCTTAGTTTTCTCAACACATTTGGTTTAATTGTTTGCTTTCTTTTAATTCGATTATTTGCTGTTTCTTTGATCATTCGTGTTAAGTTAAATCATGTATCCTTTACACCGCATACCCTCTAGGACAAAGATAAAGTTTAGAATTGCATCTACCATCTATTAATTACTCTCTTCTTCCTCCGGTAGTTTGACTGGGCACAAAGCTAAGAAAAAAAAGAAAGATTGTCTTTTGGAACTTGTGACTCGAAGAAGTCATGAGATTTTAAAACTATGTCATCAATTTGAGAAGTTTAAATTAAATTATTTTCAATGAAATATATTATTACGTTTAGAAGACTAATAAGGAAATACTACATAATGGATGGAGTACTTATATTGTTTAATCACCTTTAACTCCGTAAATGCTTAAAAATTGATTAATATAATTACTTTCATTAAATCAGGTGCCGACATATGATAGCAACAGCAAGTACGCCAACGATATTCAAGTCACTTTGGTTTGAGGAGAAGTTATTAATTCCATAGAAATGTAGAATCACATTGTTATAGTATGTTTTAGTTCAGAAGTATAAATTTGTATTATTTGCAATTATTTACCGTGCTCAACTGCTTGAAAGTTAAGATGTTTTGATAATAGTAATACAGTGGAATACTTCAAAAATAATGGCCAATTCACGTAGCGTGGTGGAGAAGAAAACCTAAAACTTATAGTATACGAATCAACTCTATAGACACTTCAGTATTTCTATATGCAGAATCCGTTAAACTCGGATACTTCATATGCATATGGAATAAGTCTACTTGTCATACCAATCATGCAAAATACAATTAAGATCCGGTATTGTTTCTCTATTTGCTGCTGTAGACATCGAAATTTTAAGGGATCTAGCCAGATTCTAAATTAAAGATACTACAGGACTCTTGAAATTTTAGGAGTATATTAGGGTTTCTTGGAAGTTACTCTACCCTAACCCTAAATTAAAGCTATAAAAAGGGTCACATATTCCCTTTGAATAGGCATCTCAAAAATGGAGATCATCTCGAAAATCCCATAAACTCACGGGATATTCACAAGAGATCAAGAAGTGGCCGGATAATTCTTGATAATCAAATAATTCAAGAAGATCCACAACATACTTCATGGATATCAAATAAATCCATGAAAGCCCGTATCATCCTACGTTCGAGAAATACGCTGCTCCAGCCATCGAACCACGGAGATAAATAGGAGAGAAGAATCAAGGGAACAAACAGAATTGTACCCGCATCATTTTATCAATAAAATTATGTTTCTTCATATTTATATTGTGGTTGCAATTTATTTTTGTATCATATATAATTTATTGCAAACAAATTGGCACGCCCGGTGGGACCAGTTCTGCCCTTCATCTCTTTCTCCTGTAAATCGAAAACTACAAGATTCAAAATCAACTATATTGTGATGGACTTCAGAAAGAGCAATGGTGTTCTAAGTAAGGACGTTATTGCAGCCACATCTGCCGATCTCTATTATATTGGCCCGATCACTCGGCGCATGTTCAAGAGCAGTTGCTGGAACGGTTGCCCAAAGAATTTAAGTTCTTTGTTTAAAGGCGAGAAAAAAAGTATTACATCAAGTCTCGTCTTTGAGGTCCGGCAAGCTTCCCCTCGACAAACCTTGAAGTAGGGGGCATTTGTAGACATCGAAATTTTAAGGGATCAAGCCAAATCCTAAATTAAAGATACTACAAAACTCTTGAAATCCTAGGAGTCTATTAGGGTTTCTTGGAAGTTACTCTACCCTAACCCTAAATCAAAGCTATAAAAAGGGTCACATATTCCCTTTGAATAGGCATCTCAAAAATGGAGATCATAAACTCACGGGATATTCGCAAGAGATCAAGAAGTGGCCGGATAATTCTTGATAATCAAATAATTCAAGAAGATCCACAACATACTTCATGGATATCAAATAAATCCATGAAAGCCCGTATCATCCTATGTTCGAGAAATACGCTGCTCCAGCCATCGAATCACGGAGATAAATAGGAGAGAAGAATCAAGGGAACAAGCAGAATTGTACCCGCATCATTTTATCAATAAAATTATGTTTCTTCATATTTATATTGTGGTTGCAATTTATTTTTGTATCACATATAATTTGTTGCAAACAGCTGCTAATGCTTAAATTAAAAATAGCCGACATATGTATAATATGTACATAACTGTATATAATCAGTGTATAATCCATGTATACATGGGTGAATTAAGGTATCAGATTCATCTGAATCTAGTACTTTTAACTGAGAGTATAAGTTTGTGTAAAAATCTACTGTAATTGTAACAAAACAATGAGATATGAACTCATAACTTTAAAAATATAACGGGCTCAACGTTAAGGACCTTAGGGTTGAATCTATAAACCTTAAATCTTGGATCCATCTCTATATGCGTACTGGCTAAGAAATAAAATATGGCCGCTATTTTTGTAAAGATCCTTAATTATCTGCATTGGTTACTTACATTATGAGTACGTATACTGTGGTTCATTGTGTTTCAGTATGTTGTAGTTGGGCAATTTCCTACTTTTATTTACTTGAGATGTGTAGGCTGGAAAGTTTCTAACAATTAATTATAGGCTACGTTGTTAGAGAATACAAAATACCAAGCTGAGGTTATATTATATATTTTGTTCTTTTGACAGAATCAGACTGAGGTGTAAGGAGCCTTAGTGGTTTTTAATCTTTAGTCTTCTTTCATGTCAGCAGGAAATTAAAGCACATAACTTTCCTTCATCATTGTATTGGGTGATACCCTTTTTTTTTGCTTGAGCCCGACCGGGTTGGGTTCGGTCCGGGGCAAGTCGGGGCCATCGAACCCGACCTGGATGCAAGGTAGAACGACGGCCACGTCTACAACCGAGGTCAAGTCATTTCGAGACCGTTGCAGAGCTTGATATGAGTCACCACCGGATGGAGAAACACACAAGGTCGGAAGCCGGACTCGTAACGGATAACCAAGCGTCGCCGGATATCTCGCCCAAACGTGATTTTCTCAACCACTCCAGGCCATTAAGGCGTAATTACAGGGATCCACGATGTAATTGATTTACCTACCTTATTTTTACCCTTAATCAGAATGTATAAAAGGGGAGAAGACCCCATAAAGAGGGCATCGGAAATCATCACACTACAGTACCATCTCTCTCAATTCTTGTACGCTATCAAGCACAATTGTTCTAAGCGATATTATATTCTGCGATTATTTACTTTAACAGCAATTGTTGAGTCTTTATCTTTTATTTTCCTCAATCTAAACCTTTTGTATCTTTTAGTTCACGGATCCTTAAAACCCCATATAAATTCAATTGTTACCCGGATTCCAGGGTAAACAGTTTGGCGCCCACCGTGGGGCTAAGGATATTAGTGAGCTCTTTGATACTCTTTCTTGACGCATCACAATACACTGGTTCTTTGCAAAAGAGTCCATCTTACATTCAAATTACCAACTCATAGAATGGCACAATCAATCAACAACGAACTTGAACAGCAGACAGGAAACAATGGAATGCCCGGGCTCGAAAACCTGATAGATGCCGATTCCCGGATGGCGCACTCAACACTGATCAGGCCTCCGGATCATCACATAGCGTCCGGGGAGAGGACGATTCGAGGGCCCAGGCAGTCGGCGAAGAGACTATCAACCTTAAAATGATTTTTGACATGCTGCAAGCCCAGCAATCGGCTATAGCTCAGCTCCAGAGCCGGGTCCAGGAGCCTGTCAGGGCCGAGGAGGCTCCCGTGAAGCTGCAATCATCAATCCGACCTCAGNCAGTTCGTTGGGAGCAAGGTATCAAGATTCTTCGAGGATAACAAGATCAAGAGGGTATTGTCAACCCCGTACCATCCCACCGGAAACGGGCAGGCTGAGTCGACCAACAAGACCATCGTTCAGAACCTAAAGAAAAGGTTACAAGACGCAAAAGGAAAATGGAGAGAAATGCTGCCCGAAATCCTATGGGCCTACCGGACAACCGAAAGGACTAGTACCGGTGCCACTCCTTTCTCTTTGGTTTACGGAGCCGAGGCCTTGATCCCAGTCGAGGTGGGCGAACCCAGCGCTAGATTCCGGTATGCAACCGAGGTTACCAACCAAGAAGCAATGCTCACCAGCTTGGATCTTTTAGACGAAAGGAGAGAGGCCGCACTAGTTAGGATGGCAGCTCAGAAACAAAAGATCGAGAGATATTATAACCGAAGGGCTCGTCTTCGACACTTCAATATAGGGGACTTGGTACTAAGAAAGGTCACCCTCAACACTCGAGACCCTAATGAAGGGAAATTAGGACCGAACTGGGAAGGCCCTTACACCATTTTGAAGGTAACCGGAAAGGGTTCGTACAAGTTAGGAACGATGGATGGGAAAGAACTACCCAATAACTGGAATATAGGCCACTTGAAGAGATACTACTGCTAAAGGTAAGTCTTCTTTCTTCTTCGCTTCCATAAATTTTTTGGAGACTTGTCCGATCCTAACCCGCGCAGGTCGATGATCGGTCGCTAAGATAAGTTCGGACATCGGAGAGATTGAAAGCACGAGCTGCACTCTTTTTTCCTTCGACCGTTTTTGTCCCAACTCGGGTTTTTCGGCAAGGTTTTTAACGAGGCAGCAAGAACATCGTGCTACTATAAAGGTATCCAAGGGTAAATCATTGTATACTAGATCGCCCTCCGAAGAAGGCGAAGGTCAATAAGAATAAATGTAAGGGTCAAACGGCCAAAGCGAGCCGTGCCCAACTAACCTGACCTAATCCGCTCGGATCAGTATGATGTATTAACTATTACTGCAATAGCAAAGACTATCTGATGCATATTCACATCATAACCTAAAAGATTTTGTTCGACTCTTCGGTATGCTTTCAAGTCCGATCACATAAGACCTCCTCGAGGCACATTTGAGCATAAGACCTCCTCGAGGCACATTTGAACATAAGACCTCCTCGAGGCACATTCGAACATAAGACCTCCTCGAGGCACCTTTGAACATAAGACCTCCTCGAGGCACAATTGAACATAAGACCTCCTCGAGGCATATTCGATCTCATATTCGATCACATAAGACCTGCTTTAGGCTCATAAGACCTCAATGAGGCAACACTTAAACTATAAGACCTCAAGAAGGCAAGTCCAAGCTCATAAGACCTTAATAAGGCGACGCATAAAACTGAAAGACCTCAGAGGTGAGTTCGAAATTCGTAAGGCCTCGATAAGGCATTGTTTTGACCATAAGTCCTCGAGAAGGCGGGTCCAAATTCATAAAATCTCAAAAAAGAGGTAATACCGGCTTCATCATCGACTTCACTAAAAGGCGAAGTATACTCGAACTTGTAAGACCTTAAGAAAAAGGCGTAAAATCGATACAAACCCTGAAGGTCAAATTGTGCCCGAGTCCGAACCCACTCACTCGGGGACTGCTTCGAAGAAACCTAAGGGTTAGACTTCACCCGAGTCCGAACCCACTCACTCGGGGACTGCTTCGAAGAAACCTAAGGGTTAGAGTTCACCCGAGCTCGAACCCACTCACTCGGGGACTGCTTCGAAGAAACCTAAGGGTTAGACTTCACCCGAGCTCGAATCAACTCACTCGGGGACTGCCTTGAGAAAACCCAAAGGTCGAAGTTCACCTGAGTTCGAATACATTCACTCGGAGACTATTTCGAAAAATATAAAGGACTACCATCGTTCCAAAAAGATAAAAGGCAAAGTAATAACAAGATTGAAAAAAGGAGCAATAAATGGCAAAGGGCAGTGTTGCATAAAAAAGCTCGCTACCGGAGCAATTACATAAGAGGGGAAAAACAAAACAAAGCCTAGCCTATTCCCGGAGTCAATCGGAGCCATCCTCGAATTCTTCGGGGAACGTCGCCCTTCTCGAAGCGTCCTCAGCTTCGGCGGCTTTGGCGACGTCCGATGCAAGATCGAAACCGCGACGTTGGAGTTCAGTAAGAACTTCAAGCCGGGCCTGACACTTCGCATATTCGGCTAACATTCTTGACTGCTGGTTGGCCGCATCAGCATCGGCCCTATATTGGGCCACCATATCGTTGGCAGTCTCCTCGGCCTGAGAAACTTTAGCCTCAGCTTCCCGAAATCGGTTGGTCCATAGCTCAATTTCAAGGACTCGAGCCTCATTGGCCAACGTCAAGTCCGCAACCTCTTCCCGAAGGGAAGTCTTCTCCGACTCCAACTGTTGCACCCGGGCTTCCAGTTCGGCTTTGTTCTCATTAAGTTCGGCTCTGCTCTCGTCAAGCTCGGCCTTAACCCGATTAAGCTCGGCTTGCACCCCCCTTAGCTTACAACCGAGCTCTTTCTTTGCTTCCTCCAGCCGGATAGCACAGGACGCGTGCTCTTTATTCAAAAGGTCCAATCCGGTCCGGCTTTCTAGCAGCTTCTCTTCAAGGACCCGGCGCCCCTCTCGCTCCGCCTCCATTTTGTCCTTGATTCGGAGGAACATCGAGTGATATAGCACCGATGCCTGCAAAGGAAAAGTCTAAAGAGTCAGTAATGGGTCGCAAGGCGAAAATATTAGAAATAAAGGAAGAAGCAAATACCTTGAGCTGCGCCTGCTGGGCTTCGTTGAAAAGGCATGTCCAATCTACAGCCTCGGTCGCAGCCCGGTCTTCCTCCGTCATCAGGTGATGAAGATAGCTTGCAACCCCGACCGGGGGCCCCAGAGCCCGGACGTCTTTGGGGATAGCAAAAGTTACTATCCTGTTACAGTCCGGGTCCAGGCTCGGAGCTGGAAACCTATCAACAAGCTTGTTGACGGCCGAAGTCCCACTTGATTCGGCCTGAAGGTCTTTCCGGGGGATTTCGAGCCCGAAAGTGTTGGCGGAGGGTACCCCATCAAAAAAGGTCTCGAAGCTACCTCCCATCATCGGGATGTCGTCCGGCAGCTGCCCCCAAGTCGAGGAAGATGGGGGGGACGTAACCGGGTGATCGGTACCCGGGGATGCCCGCGCAGGGGCCGAGGGTTCACTAGCATCCTCAACCCTCGCGTCCTCGGGAGGAGCCTCAACTGGATCGACCACCGGCTCAGGGTCCGGTCGAATGGATCGGTGGCGGACGAGCTCCGGCTGCTCCTCATCGTCATCCTCTTTGTCATCCTCTTCCTCGGAGGACAAGACGATTTGGCTTTTTGGTTTGCGGGCGGCCCTTTTTGTCCGCTTAGCCTTCCTTTGAGGCTCGTCCGTACCGGACTCCCCGGGCCTTTTATTTTCTCCCGGAACCGGAAGGGGGCATAGTATTGAAGACCTCATCTCCGCGTCCTTGGGCAAGCCTGCAAAACACGAGGGTTATGATGCATTCCCGATATACAGGAAAAAATGCGCTACCGGTCAAAAAGAAGGCTTACCATGGTTTTTCGCCTCCCACCGACCTTTGGAGATTTCCTTCCAGTTTCGCTCCGAATATGGCCGCTGGGCCACTATCTTGTTTACCCAGCCGGCCAGATCCTTGACGGCAGCTGGAGTTTGGGTCACCGCTGCACAAGAAAAGGGGGTTTCAGGAAGAAGTTGAGGAAAACACACTCTAAAAGATGAACAGTGAGAAAATACTTACGTTTGAGGTTCCACCTCTCCGGAAATGGCATGCAATCGGCCGGAATCAGGTCGGACGTCCTGATCCGGACAAACCTGCTCATCCAGCCTCGATCTTTGTCTTCATCGATGCTGGAGAATGGGGGTTTGCTAGCCCGGCGGGCCAGTTTTATTAATCCCCCTCGAAATATTCGGGGGCTGTATAGTCGAAGAAGATGGTCGAGGGTAAAGGGAAAATCGCCCTCGACTCTCTCAACAAAAAACCGAAAGAGATATACGATCCGCCACATCGAGGGGTGGATCTGACCTAAGGTCACCTCGTACCGCCGGCAGAACTCCACTATAATGGGTTCTAAGGGGCCTAAGGTGAAGGGATATGTATATACACTAAGATATCCTTCAACGTGAGTCATAATCGACTCGTCACGGGAAGGGGCGACCAGGTCTTTCCCTTCCCATCTACATTCAGCCCTCACCCGGTCTAGGCAACCGGGAGTGATTAGGCTGATATACTCCGATGCCGGTTCGCCGCGGCCCGGGACCGATGATGGGTTTTCAACCTGGAAGTCGGCAGATACCGAGCAACCAGTCGGTGTGAAAGCTTTCAATGGGGGTTCTGGCGCAGGTTCATCAGATCTAGCGGGGCTCGCGGCCGAGCTTGGTCTAGAAGGAACACTTTGTGAAGTTTTCGCCATTTCTTGAAGCTTTACGAAGAGATGAAAAGAAAATACAACCAACGCAAAATTTGAGAAAGATAAGAAATGTTGAACCTGGAAGGGTCGTTTATACTTTTCCCATGAGGCGGTGGCACGAATCGCGAAGTTACAGACACGAAGCGACAGATAATTAAGAGAAGCATTAAATGCCTGCAGCAGGCGTGGTCAGAGTACTCGATGGCTTTTTCACCTGGCGTATGGCCATACGTCACGGGCATCACGTCACCGATCATATCGTTTATTATCATTACTCTCTAATAAACGAGGGGACTATCTGTATTGGGTGATACCCTTTTTTGCTTGAGCCCGACCGGGTTGGGTTCGGTCCGGGGCAAGTCGGGGCCATCGAACCCGACCTGGATGCAAGGTAGAACGACGGCCACGTCTACAACCGAGGTCAAGTCATTCCGAGACCGTTGCAGAGCTCGATATGAGTCACCACCGGATGGAGAAACACACAAGGTCGGAAGCCGGACTCGTAACGGATAACCAAGCGTCGCCGGATATCTCGCCCAAACGTGATTTTCTCAACCACTCCAGGCCATTAAGGCGTAATTACAGGGATCCACGATGTAATTGATTTACCTACCTTATTTTTACCCTTAATCAGAATGTATAAAAGGGGAGAAGACCCCATAAAGAGGGCATCGAAAATCATCACACTACAGTACCATCTCTCTCAATTCTTGTACGCTATCAAGCACAATTGTTCTAAGCGATATTATATTCTGCGATTATTTACTTTAACAGCAATTGTTGAGTCTTTATCTTTTATTTTCCTCAATCTAAACCTTTTGTATCTTTTAGTTCACGGATCCTTAAAACCCCATATAAATTCAATTGTTACCCGGATTCCAGGGTAAACAATCATCATTAAGTTGTAAGCTTCCTGCATGGTTTCTTGGAACAAAGAAAAGAACAAGGAAAAAGAAACAACTTAATAATTATTGATGCTGTAGTGTCTGAAAAGAAAACCTACTACTTACTACTATAGTTTAGCACATGAAATGATTGTTGTTTTAAAATGTAGTTGCTAACTTCAAAGTTCCTGTTACTTGACCAATGTGTGTTCTTTAATTCACAAATTGACTATGATACAGAAGGAAATTTAACTTAATTAATTAATCGCTGCCATGAGTCACAAACTCAAACAAGGCGTGACAAAAAAACAAAATAATATTAATTAATCCCATATTTTTGCAACATGTAAGCGCAAAAGGCTGATGATACTGTAGATTGTGTAATTTAATTACCTGTTCTAGAACATTGTTCACCTTATTATGGAGGTTTACTTTCTTTGTCAGCTTTTTCTTTGTTAAAATTAAACTTCACTACTGACAATTAAGGAGGAATCTGAGGTATAGATTTGGAGTAGGTCTCTATCACTTAAGTATCAAGTTTCCCTACCTGATTTAACAAAATTATGTAATGTTTCTCGAAATTTGAGTTTTTCAAGATAATTAAGTTTACTTATCATTGGATGTATAGTATGGTTAATGCCAATTCCCGGAGTCATCCATTAAATCTAACGGCTTGGATTCTGCCTCTCGAAAATCTACTATCAGTGTGGATTAAGGAATTGAGAGGATATATGGTTAATGCCAATTCCCGGAGTCATCCGTCACTTAGTATAGTGAAATTGGTTGATAACAAGTGGTTAAATAGCGAGGTGACATGTGGAATCGAGAACGGACAAAAGTTGTGTCGGCAAATAATTGATATCGGTTACGAAGAGCGTAACTGGTACAGGATGGATCCCGAAGGAAGCACAACCGATGGTATAGACTCAAAGGCATGACATCAGATATCATTTAATGAGTAGCCATAACAGAAAATATCTGCATTCAAAGCTAGCCGTTACGCACCCATCAATTATATTTTTATTCTCATTCAAGAGGAGCTTGATTTTAGGATCATGTTTCCCTAGCAATAACTATAAATAGCAGATTGGCAACTCTTGTAGGGACATAATACATTATGCACACAAAAGCTATAGCATACTGTTTTACACTCAATCTAAAGAATTTTTTCATTGCTTTATCATTGCTTCTGCTTTTGCCCTAGGAAAGACCGAGCTCAAAATCAAGCTTGCTATTTTCTTTAATTTCAATTGCTAATCTTATTTTTGTTCTTATTTCTTTATCATTTTCGGATCAAATCGATTCGCTTGTTTGTAAACCACGCTATAAATTCAACTGTACCGTTTCACGGGTAAATAGTTTGGCACCAATTTCTTTAATCTGTTTGTTTGTTACAAACGAATTTCAGTTTTTCTTAAGTAAAAGCCAGATATGGCAACCAACGATGTCAACAACATTCACAATGTTAGAGCACACGATGAACGGGAAGAGGTGTCTCATCGCGATGATTCCATCAGTGAAACCCGCAACGATGGGGATGAGACAACCCCGATTCGCAAAGGGCCATATCCTCGACATGTGCGGGGCCCAACTCTCGATGATGTGGAGGACAAACACATTGCGAAAATGGTTAAATTTCTTAGAGAGCAGCAAAGAGCAATCACGGACCACCTCTCAAGGCAGGATAGTGTAATGACAGAATTGAAGCAGGCGTTATCGGGTTCTTCCAATAACGCCAATGGAGGGGCCCCGGTTTATCCCAACGCTCCCGCAAATCAGAAGGCACAAAGGACCGATAACAACACCGCAAGGGATAAGGTCAGTTTTGAAGGAGCCGGGGGGTACCGATAGTGGATCTGGGAATAATAACTCGAGTGGTCCTTTTAGAGTCGAGCTCATGAGATTCATAAGAGAGATCAACAAACAAATAAATTAGAATGTGAAGGAGTTTCATACTCGGATGGATCAGATTTTGGGTGCACCACCGGTGTTAAAGGGTCCAGACTCCACGAAGTACCACAAAATTGCCGTTTAAATCAAGTGCGGCACCAGAATTGATCCCGAAGAAGTTCAAGATGCTGGAGATACCAAAGTGTGATGGGACTTCGGATCCGCAGGAGTACATCATGACCTACACCATAGCAGTGAAAGGAAAGGATTTAGCTCAACATGAGATTGAGTCGGTTATGTTGAAGAAGTTTGGCAAAACCCTTACAAAGGGGGCCCTGACATGGTACTCCCTCTTACCTGAGCATTCAATCGATTCTTTTGAGATGCTTGCAGATTCGTTCATTAAGGCCCATGTTGGAGCAAGAAAGGTTCAGGCCAGAAAGGCAGACATATTCAGAATTTCGGAGGGCGAATCCGATCTGCTGCGAGAATTTGTGATCCAATTCCAGAAAGAAAGGATGTTGCTACCGGCGGTTCCAGATGAGTGGGAAGCGGAGGCATTCACGAAGGTTCTAAATCCACGGAGTACTGATGCCTCTCGAAAACTGAAGGAGAGCTTGCTCAAGTTTCAGGCAATCATAAGGGCGGATGTCAATAACCGCTATGAGTCAAAAATAAGGATAGAAGATGATCAACTTGGCTCATCGATATCAACAAAGGGACGAGGTCGAGATAAAAATCGAGACAAATTTAAAAATAACTTTGATACAGATCGACAATCCTCTACGGGTCATTTTCTACCGTATGAGAGGACCGATGAGCGTAGTAGCAAAATGTTTCAGTCATCAGACAGGTTTTCTCTAGAGAAAAGGATGGATCATGGCCGAAACAATAGGTCATTGCAGGAAAAAGAGATACCAGGGGCCCGGATCCAGTATATCCCAGGTTATCAGATTATAACTTTAACATCAGTTTTGTAGAATTGGCATCGGCAATGATAAATATCAAAGAAGCACAATTTTCGAAACCAATCTGATCAAATCCTAGCTAGAGGGATCTTAGTTTATGGTGTGAATTCCATGGGACTCATGGTTATAGAATTGGGGACTGTCGACATCTTCGCGGGGAGGTGGCGAGACTGTTATAAAATGGCCATCTTAGAGAGTTTCTAAGTCACCGCGCCAAAAACAATTACGGTTGGAACTAGGACAATGCAGATCCCTCAAAGACGGAAGCAGGGTCATCTCGGATGAAAATCAACATGATCTTCGAAGGGAGAAAGGTTAATGGGGTGACATTTCGGTAGCAAAAAAGATGCAAATATCAATAACTCATGGCAAGAATGTTCGGGAAGTCTTGGAAGATGACATCCCCTTCCCGGAAGA